AGGATGGATGCCATTTGTACCAAACAGTTTGTATACATGTGTGACACCTAAGGCTGACCATTTAGATGTTTGGAGGTCGGGAGATAAGGTAGAGAGGGCTGACAATGGTGCGAGGTACAGTAATTCTGCCTTTGGCCACAATGCTGTGTTCCACGAAGACCATGATTTTGTTATATATTGTGATGTTGGGAGCGTGGAGTGTGATGCTAAGGGGGTGGATGACCATAGGGCATCATAGAGGGAGTGTGAACCCCCACAAGCGGATTCTAGGTCTACCCATACTGGTTTGTGTGTGCCCATCATGACATTGAGGCTTTGCGACATCAGGGTTGCTTTGTAGTAGAGCATGATGTTGGGAACGTTAAGACCTCCTTTCTTGAATTCGGCGCCATAGAGAGCGGAAAGAGATTCTTGGGGGTTTTTTCTTCCAAATATGAGCGTTAATTGCCCTTTGGAATCGTTGAAGGAGCGAATTCGGTAAGGCGATAGGTAATGACCTAAATAGGTAGAGTATATGTGGCAAAATCATCATCTTAATAGAATTTATTCTACCAAACCATGATGTATAGAGATTGCTCCAAGAGTCCATCTGTTTGGAAATATTGGACAGGACCGCTATGTGATTTTCCTTTATAGTTAGGGATTTGGAGTGCGTTAATTTGATACCTAGGTACAAAATTGCGTTAGTTTGCCACGCGAATTGGTATGTGTTTTTCAGTTCGCTCACCAATTGCTTGTCAAGTCTTATGGGGAGTATCTTGGTTTTATTAACGTTATTTTTATAATAGGAGATATCTCCATATGTGGTCAGTGTTTGTAATAGGTAAGGAATGGATTCAGATGGGTTAGCTAGAAAGAGGATTACATCATCGGCAAAGAGTGCCAACTTTTTTTCTCCAGCCGGGATATCTATGCCGGGTAACGCCGCGTCAAGCTTGATCGTTCTAACTAGAGGTTCCAAACATAAGATGAAGATCAAGGGTGACAAGGGACAGCCTTGCCTCGTGCCATTGGTTATGCGAAAATTCCTTGATGTAAAGCCGGAACTAAATACTTTAGCAGATGGAGCGGAGTATAGGGCCATGATGCTGGTAATGAAAGCATTGGAGAAACCAAAGGCCGACAAAGTTTCGGACATATAATCCCAATTTAGGCGGTCAAATGCCTTTTCCGCATCTAATGCCAACAAGGCACCTGATTTATTTTTAAAGTTGGCCCAATCAATTAAGTCCATACAATATCTGGTGTTGTCCCCAACTTGCCTGCCAGGAACAAAGCCTGCTTGTTCCTCTGAGACTAACGCGGACAACAAGGGACGAATTCTATTGGCAAGCAGTTTGGCGTACAACTTAACGTCGGCATTAAGTAGTGAAATCGGCCTGATGTTACTGCAAAATGTTGGTGGTTTATTTGGCTTAGGCAAGGTGATAATGTAGGCTTCCAGCATTTCTTGTGGGAATTTACCTGCCATTCTAATTTTGTTAAATAATGTTGTAAGGTGTGGTGTTAGTCGCGGTGCCAATTTTAAATAATAGTAGTTGGAGAGACCATCAGGCCCCGGTGCTTTATGTTTTGGCAGGGATTTAATCGCATTACCCACTTCAGTTTCTGTAAAAGGGGCATCTAAAAGGTTATTGTGATGCGTCGATAATTGAGGGAGTGTGATTCGAGAGAGGTATTGTGTTATGTCTACTGCATTGGGAGTTTTTGTGTCTGAGCTATTGCGAAGATTGTACAGGTCTTCATAAAAGCTGGCCAGTTCTTCAACAATCGTATTCGGGTTATATATTCGTACGTGATCTTTGGAATATAAATAAGGGATTTTAGTTTGTAGGTATTTTGCTTTCAGTTGATTAGCCAAAATCTTGCCTGCCTTATTCCCCGAAATGTAATACGTTTGTTGAGTTTTACGTGCTTGATTAGTGTGTAGTTGTGTTTGAAGAAGATGAATATCCTGTTGTACTTTGGTAATTTGACGGGTGACTGACTTAGATGGGGACTGTTTGTTGGATTCTTCTAACTTCCTAAGGGTATGGCGAAGTGCAGTCTCTTTAGAGATATAACTTTTTTTAGCTATGGAACCCAATTTGATGAAGTGACCCCTGACAACTGCTTTGTGTGCCAGCCATTGAGTTTCTACCGTGGTATCTTCAGTGGAATTAGCATCAAAGTAATTATCTAGTACCGTGGAAATATATTGAGTGTCGGCAGGGTTGTCAAGGAGAGATTCATTCAAGCGCAATTTACCTCTCCCTGTTGTGGGATATGGCACTGCTAGCGTAACCAGGATGGGGGCATGATCGGACCATGTCCGAAGCCCAATGGATTGGTCCTTAAGATGTGGGAGGGTATGTTTATCGACTAGGCAGAGGTCGATGCGTGTGTACATTAGATGGACCTGTGAGAAGTATGTGTAATCACGTGCTGTTGGGAATAAATTTCTCCAGGTGTCATATAGATCTTGCTCATGAAGGAGCCGAGAGAACAGTTTACTATTGTGAATAGATAATTTATTGGGAGGTTTATTTTTGACGCGTTGTATATCTAGAGAGGGCATGAGGGTACAATTACAGTCGCCGCAAATGATAACATGGCCCTGTTTAATGGAATTTATTTTCTTTATTGCTTTATTAAGAAATGAGAATTGAGCTTCATTAGGAGCGTATAGCGATACCACAGTTACTTGAATACCATTTAGTTTGCCTACTAGAACCAGTAAACGGCCAGCTGGGTCAGCGAACTGTTTTTGAGCTGTGTAAAGCCAATCTTTGTGGAAAAAAATTGCAACACCTTTGGACTTGTTTGGTGAGTAAGCGTGATACACTTGTGGGTACATTGGAGAACAGATCTGAGGAGGGTTACGGTTCGCGAAGTGTGTCTCTTGGACACAGACAATCGCGGTTTCTGCTTTATGCATGTCCTTCAATAGTTGCTTTCGTTTGTAGGGGCTATTGAGGCCTTTGACGTTAAGGGAAAAGATTTGTAGTGTGTTAGGCGGCATCTATTTCATAAAGTGAGGAGGCAATTGGGACAGTTGTCGCATCTTAGTTTAGTTCCGTACGGTATAGCACCCCTAGAGGTATACATCATTGCCCAGTCTGGGGGCATGGAAGCCAAGATAATATTGGGACCACTCACAATATTCCCTTCATAGTGGATACTCTCAAATATCATGGAATGATCTGGTGCGGGGTGGACAAAAAGGCCTAATTGTGAAGTTGGAAGTGGAGGGGGAGGGAAGGGGAAAAACAGGGATGAACAAACAATAACAATAACACAGGTATATACAAAGGAAACCCTTGATGGGTTTCACATAAACCGTCATCCGTAGGATATGCAGGAACATATCCCATGGCGACCTAGGGAGGTCTTGTGGGCGATGACTCATAAAAGAATCTTCATGGTATGAGTACTTGTTTATCTATCTTAATGTATTCTATAAAGCCATCCCTTGCAATATAACGGGTGATGCCATAGTCCAACCGCAGTAGTAGAGACTTCTAGGTACAACACAAGGTGTGGCAGCAGATGCATAAGTTATACCGCTACGCCCTGCGGCATCGTCATAGGTTAGGCATTGTTATGACTGGTTGCTAATTATAGTGTGGTTACTCGCTCTGGGTATGTGCGCCCATGTCGGTTAAGCTTGTTTGCAGCCTAAGAAAATATATCAACCCCAGGACTGGAGCCCCAGTACCAGGGGTGAAATATTGTTATGAACTACAATATACAGACATGCAAGGAAGACATAGTGCTGCCCTAGATGGGATTAAACATATTAGGCATGCTACCATACATTGTATAAAGCACTCATAATATTTGCAAATCATGTGGGCTATTACTTTTCTACAGAGCAAGTTGTACATGTGGCCCGATCATCCAGATCAATTTTTAGTTTAGGGTTGAGATAGGTATACTGGAAACTCGGTATTGACTAAGCTATATGCAGGATATATATATATATATATCGAGTACCTTCTTTAAGATGGGACATTGAAGGGCAACCAGATTACCAGTCTGCACAGCGCTATACAAGTGAGCCATAAAGTATAATTTTCCCTTCTGTGGGCCAAGCTAGAACATATTGGCAGTAGCTTTGTATATAATGTGCGCAATAATATAAACTATAAAAGTATACATGATCTAAACTGAACAATATTCCCAACAATACTAGCTTGAGCTCACAGATATAAAATCAGAGATATTGCTATAATCTCAATTACATATCCAAGGTACTTAACAATACGTCTTTGTGGACATATGTAACCATAAGGAGGTCACGGAGTGTTGGCTGGTGATTTCGCCATTTGCCAGTCTGCTTGAAGTTTTCTCAGGGATGCATTATCCGATGCTTTGCTTTGGGCTTGAGGAGTACCAATCCATAGTCCCCAGACTGAGATCAGCTTCATACCTTCCGTCGGGTCAGTCGCTATGTGGTTACGGCCTTGACGCCAGATGATTAATTTGGTTGGATAACCCCATTTGTAAGCCACGTTGTTGTTCCGTAACATTTTAGTTACTGTTATAAATCCCCTTCGTTTTTCCATTGTAGCTGCTGATAAATCGGCATAAAGTGCGATCCGTTGATGAGGTTCTGGAAGTGATGGGGCTTTTCTCGCCGCTGCCAGCAGGGTTTCTTTATGTGCAAAGTAATGAAATCTTACAATAACGTCCTTAGGGACTTCTTTTGATAGACGAGCAGGCTGTGGGAGTCTGTGCATACGATCGCGTGCCCATGCGGAGTTTGGTAGGCCCGGGACCAGGGTGTTGCATATGGACAGAATGTGAGCTGGTAGTGCCTCTTGCGTAACATCATCCGGTAAGCCCCTGAATCTTATATTTTGCCTTCTTGACCTGTCTTCCATGTCAGCAAGCTTGTCTCGTAATAGAGAATTTTCTTCGGACAGTTTCTGGTCTTTGTCCACTACTTCATTGTGTGCTATACAGAGCTCGTCCGTTTTATTTTCCAGGTGACTGGTTCTGTCACCGATATTAGAGATTTATTTTCTCAGATCGCCATTAATGCGGTGGAAGTCTGCTGTTATAGTAGCTCTGAGTTCTTGCAGCATTTTGTGAAGGCTGCGTTCCGTCACTGGAGCTTCAGAGTATTTGGATGAGCTCTGTTCATAGTCTGATTGCCCATCGGATAAATTAGATGTGTCGTCGCCATCTTGGATTTCTTTGCGGCGGTCCGCTCTTTTCGATTTTGTCATATCCGACAGCTTTAGCTGCTTGGGTGGAGGCATTGTAGGGTGCTGTAATATTCCTGTAAGTTCAGGGTAGAGGGTAGCGGTGATTCAGTCGCTGAATGCCGTTCATTTAGTCGCTCAAGGTCGGGATAACGGCGGAGCTCCTATGCCATGCGTCCTCTCTCACCGGAAGCCGGGCACGCCCCCGTACCAATCCTCTTTTTATTGCACTCTTTATGCACTTTAAACAACTTTTTTTACCTATTCCTGGCATTTTAACCTTTCCTGGTTACTTTTACTTCCACTGGCAATTTTAAAGTTCCAGTACTCCAAGAAATCCTAGGTGGGGATCATACCACCAGCGCCTATCCATAGAGCAGTACCTCTGCTCTATCTTTGTGAGTATTATTTTATTTTCTCTACTACTCTCTTAACCTATCACAATTGAGAGCACTATTGCTGCTTTTTATTCTTCTATATTGGAGCCTTGGATCACCAGACGGTGCTGACGGACGTATCGCCGCTACATATCCTATAAGCGGGGATTATACCGCTGTACGCTATCCACACCAGAGCTGGCCATAGCTCCCTCAAATGTGAGTTTTTTTACCTCTTCTTATCTGCACATTGAACCACATCAAAATTGAGAGCACTATTGTTGCTTTCTGTCTTTCTTTTCCGAGTTCTGGACTACCAGACGGTGTTGACGGAGACCCACTCCCTACATATCCCATAAGCGGGGATAATACCGCTGTACGCAATCCACACCAGAGCTGGCCATAGCTCTCTTGAATGTGAGTTCTTTACTTTTTGTTACCTATCACACCCTGAACTTTCATACCTCTCTTGTATTTACATATATGGAACGGTCTACACTAGACGCATCCACAGAGGAACTCTATCAAGTATCCTGGACCATCTATTGGCACCCTAGCAATACTTTACTGGACTATCTACCCTTATTTGGCGCAGCCCTTCCATATCTTTTTGAGTCCTGAAGGACTCATCTGATCTCTGCTGTAAGGACAGCACCCCAAAAAGCCCTTTTTAGGGCTATAACATCAGTCTGCTTTTTTTTTTTTTTTCTGTGTAATGTAATTGCAGTTGCCTGCCTGCCTGCCAGCTTCTGTTTCAGGCTCGTAGTGTATACTGTGCCCATTTGCCCAGTGCCACCACTCACTCACTGGTGTCACAATAGCTTGCATTTAAAAAAAAACAAATGTTTTTTTCACTATAATAGATTGAATAGCAGTTAGTTGTCTGCAAGCGTCTGTGTGTCAGGCTCGCAGCGTATACTGTGCCCACTTGCCCAGTGCCACCACTCACTCACTGGTGTCACAATAGCGTGCATTTAAAAACCCCAAAACTTTTTTCACTGTTATAGATTGAATAGCAGTTAGTTGTCTGCAAGCGTCTGTGTGTCAGGCTCGCAGCGTATACTGTGCCCACTTGCCCAGTGCCACCACTCACTCACTGGTGTCACAATAGTGTGCATTTAAAAACCCAAAAACTTTTTTCACTGTTATAGATTGAATAGCAGTTAGTTGTCTTCAAGCGGGTGTGTCAGGCCTACAACGTGTACTCTGCCAACCTTTGCCAGTGCACATTGCCACTCATATCTGGTGTCACGGTAGCTTGCACGCATAGTACCAATAATCGAAAAAAAAATGACAGACAGAGGCAGGCCACCCCGCAGGGGCCGTCGTGGTCGTGGTGCTGTGATTCCCATTTGCCCTAGAATAATGCCCAGTTTTCATAGGCCAGGTACCCTGAACTTGAAAAGTTCTGAGGACATAGTTGACTGGCTAACACAGGACACCCAATCTTCTACAGCTTCCGCTCGGAACCTTGACGCAACATCCTCCTCCAGCTTAGCTTCGGGCACCTCTCAAGATACCACTCACCCGCCTGCCGCCACCACCAACACTAGCACCACAGCCGCTTTACTTGGTATGTCAGAGGAGTTATTTACACATCCGTTTTTAAGAAATTAGTGATGCGCAACCATTATTGACACAGGATGTAGATAACAGGGATATGTCTCAGTCAGGCAGCATTACACATGTACGGTGTGATGATGATGATGTTGTACCCGCTGCTGCTTCCTTTGCTGAGTTGTCAGATACAAGTGAAGCGGTTGATGATGACTATGTGTCCATGGATGTCACGTGGGTGCCCGCTCGGCAAGAAGAAGAACAGGGCGAAAGTTACGAAGGGGAGACAGAGAGGAGGAGGAGACGAGTTGGAAGCAGGGGGAGGTCATCGCAAGGAGCTAGTGGCACAGTCAGACAGCATGCATCGGCACACGGGGTCAGCCCGACAGCACGCCAATCAACGCATGCTGTGTCCACCACCAGAATGCCGTCATTGAGGAGCTCAGCAGTGTGGCATTTTTTTTGTGTGTCTGCCTCTGACAACAGCGATGCCATTTGCAACCTGTGCCAAAATAAACTGAGTCATGGGAAGTCCAACACCCACCTAGGTACAACTGCTTTGCGTAGGCACATGATCACACATCACAAACGCCTATGGGATCAACACATGAGTACAAGCAGCACATAAACTCAAAGCCGCCATCCTCCTCCTGGTCCAGCATCTTCAGCCATGCCAACCACTGCTGTCCTCCTTGCCCCCTCTCAACCATCCGCCACTCCGTCTCTCGCCTCTGTCAAGGACATGTTTGAGAGTAAGAAGCCAATGTCAGAAAGTCACCCCCTTGCCTGGCGTCTGACAGCTGGCTTGTCTGTACTATTAGCCCGCCAGCTTTTACCATACAAGCTGGTGGAGTCTGAGGCGTTCAAAAAATTTGTAGCTATTGGAACACCGCAGTGGAAGGTACCTGGACAAAATTTCTTTTCACAAAAGGCAATCCCCAACCTGTACTCGATTGTGCAAAAGGAAATAATGGCATGTCTGGCACACAGTGTTGTGGCAAGGGTCCATCTGACCACTGATACCTGGTCTGCAAAGCATGGTCAGGGCAGGTATATCATCTACACTGCGCATTGGGCAAACCTGCTGACGGCTGCCAAGCATGGAATGCGTGGCTCTGCAGAGGAGTTGGCGACACCGCCACGACTTGCAGGCAGGCCTACTGCCACCTCCTCTACTCCTCCTACTCCATCCTCTTCCATAGCCTCCTCGGCTGAGTCCTCTTCTGCTGCTGCGTCTTGCTCCACATCAACAGCACCCCCCCAGCTCCCCAGGTACTATTCCACATCCCGGATACGGCAGTGTCACGCCGTCTTGGGTTTGACTTGCTTGAAAGCAGAGAGTCACACCGGACCAGCACTCCTGTCCGCCCTGAACGCACAGGTGGAAAAGTGGCTGACTGCGCAACAACTGGAGATCGGCAAAGTGGTCTGTGACAATGGAACACATTTGTTGGCGGCATTGAAGTTGGGCAAGTTGACACATGTGCCGTGCATGGCACATGTGTGTAATCTGGTCGTACAACGCTTTGTGCATATGTACACAGGCTAACAGGACGTCCTGAAGCAGTCCAGGAAGGTGTGTGGCCATTTCAGGCGTTCCTACACGGCCATGGCGCACTTTGCCGATATCCAGCGGCGAAACAACATGCCAGTGAGGTGCTTGATTTGCGACAGCCCGACACGTTGGAATTTAACACTCCTAATGTTCGACCGCCTGCTCCAACAAGAAAAAGCCATTAATGAATATTCGTATGACCAGGGTGCTAGGACAGCCTCTGGGGAGCTGGGAATTTTTTTGCCACGTTACTGGACGCTCATGCGCAATGCCTGTAGGCTCATGCGTCCTTTTGAGGAGGTAACAAATTTAGCCAGTCGCACCGAAGGCACCATCAGCGACATCATACCATTTGTTTTCTTCCTGGAGTGTGCCCTGCGAAGAGTGCTGGATCAGGCCGTAGATGAGCATGAAGAGGAAGAGTTGTGGTCACCATCACCACCAGAACCAGCCTTATCAGCATCGCTTGCTGGACCTGCGGCAATGCTGGAAGAGGATTGTGAGGAAGAGGAGTCAGAGGAGGAATGTGGCTTTGAGGAGGAGGAGGAAGACCAACCACAACAGGCATCCCAGGGTGGTCGTTGTCACCTATCTGGTGTTGTACGTGGCTGGGGGGAAGAACATTCCTTCATTGAGATCACTGTGGAGGAGGAACGGGCAAATGAGTAGCTCGGCATCCAACCTTGTGCAAATGGGGTCTTTCATGCTGTCGTGCCTGTTGAGGGACCCTTGTATAAAAAGGCTGAAGGAGAACGACCTGTACTGGGTGTCCATGTTACTAGACCCCCGGTATAAGCAGAAAGTGGCTGAAATGTTACCAAATTACAACAAGTCGGAAAGGATGCAGCATTTGCAAAATAAATTAAAAAATATGCTTTACACAGCGTATAAGGGTGATGTCACAGCACAACGGGAATCTAACAGGGGAAGAGGTGAAAGTAATCCTCCTCCTCCCACGACCACGACGGCAAGGACAGGACGCTTTACAGACGTGTTGTTGATGGAGGACATGCAGAGCTTTTTAAGTCCTACGCATCGCCACAGCCCTTCGGGATCCACCCTCAGAGAACGACTCGAACGACAGGTAGCAGACTACCTTGCCTTAACTGCAGATATCGACACTCTGAGGAGCGATGAACCCCTTCACTACTGGGTGTGCAGGCTTGACCTGTGGCCTGAGCTTTCCCAATTTCCGATAGAACTTCTGGCCTGCCCCGCTTCAAGTGTCCTGTCAGAAAGGACCTTCAGTGCAGCAGGAGGTATTGTCACTGAGAAGAGAAGTCGCCTAGGTCAAAAAAGTCTAGATTACCTCACATTTATTAAGATGAATGAGGGATGGATCCCGAAGGGACTGACAGTGGGCGATACATTAGACTAAAAAAGGCCTGATGAAGGGGACGTAACCGGGTGTCGCGGTTGCCGGCCCGCCACGTGATATTTTAATCCCTAGCTCACCCTGTCGTGGTTTCCTGTTCCTTTTTCCCTGAGAGTGCTTTATCATTGTGAATCTGATTTCCTGGTATCCTGATCTTGGCTTTTCCCTGGTTATTCTGGTTTCCCTGACTTGG